AGCTCCACATGAGAGCTGTTGGGACCACCAGTGGAGCAGCGATGACACTGTTTACCCAGGGCCTGTCTGCCCCTGTCATCAGGCACTGTGTATATTGTCCTCCACTCAGAGAATCTGTGCTATTTGCATTTGTTAAAAGGGTCAGGTTTATTTCTTGAAGAGATCTGTGAAGAAGGAAAAAAAAAAAAGCACAAGAGGGTGGGGTGGGGAAAAGACAGACTCTAGGCTGACAACCAAGGAAAGGCAAGAAAGGCTGGGACCACAACTGTCTCCCTGGATTTCAGTGCACAGAGCTGGGTACCAGTAGGCACTCAGTTGTTGAAATATGGGCAGTATTATATTTTCGTAACAGTTCTATAAAAAATGTGCTGGTTTATACATTTCACAGAGAAGAGCAGACTGAGACTCACATTAAATAAGTTGCCTTTGGTCACCCAGCTAGAACATGACAGCTGTGATTCAGACCAAGTATGCCTGACCCGTAGAACACATGCCTTCACTCCGCTGAAGTAGAGGGAGCATATTCTTGCTCTCTCCCTCAGACACAGTCACTCTCAGGTGCTTTGTATTTGGGGGTTTCTTGGTTATATTTTTAACTTAAATTTTTTATTACATTTCAGTATAAGTTCAGAGTTACAGAAAAGTCAGCAGGAAGGGTATAAACAGTTCTTAGACCTTTTTGCCCAGATTTATAAGAGTGTATTCCTGGTGGCCTTGATTTGTGAGCTGCTTTAGCATGGGACGGGGCCACCCTGGGCCTTGCTGCAGGAGGAGACCTGTGAGGTGGGGTGTGGTGTGTTCCTTATGAGAAAGAAAAACAACCCTGTGACCCCACCCAGGAACTGTCGCTAAATGGGAAGCAGCCCTCAGGGCTTGCTGGGTGAAAACAGGAGATAGGAGTCCATGGTTGATGATTTTTTTGTGGAAGAACTCTCCCTTAGAGGAAATGGAGAGTTTGAAGAATATAAAAGAAAAGTGGCTTATAAAAAGGACAGCTTGTAACTTGCCACACAGACACTGCAAGGCTGGCACCACACCCTCCCTGGCTGCTAAGAACAATTAAGCTGGCAGGCACAGTGCCTCCTCTGCTCACCACTGTTGTAAAGGGTAATGGTTATGCTGTTTTATTTACACACCTGCCGCACAGGGTTTTTAACCCTTTTCTTATTCTCATCTATTGTACCTACTTTCTCCCTTCTGGGTTCCCGGCCTTCCTCCTCCGGCCTGCTGATTTCCAAAGGCATTGGACTTAGGGGAAGACTGGGGGCATTCTGCCCCATCAGAGGACAGTGGGTCTCTTAAAAGGGGTGAACCATCTGGAAGTTTTCCAGATCTGTCTCCAGTTCTAACACTAAAAAAGACCAGTCTCCTCCATGCTGGGGGCCTCAGTCTGTTTGTGACTGTACCTTTCCCTCTGCCAGGACCCTCCACTCAGAGAAACTGTGCCTGGTTATCATTTTGGAAGCCTTTTTTTCTTGACTGGTGCTCACTCACACTCAGCCTGTGCTTGACGGTAAGCGCCAGGAGGGTGGAGCTGACCAGCCCCAGCTCAGGCCAGTGCCCCATTAGCAGAAGCCCGCCACGGTCGTGAGCTTGGTCTACAGTTGACTTACGAGTTTGTGTCACGCAGGGTCACCCCCTCCTCAGCAGGAAGCACCTACAGAAGAAAGACTGACACCTACTTCCCCTTGAAAGATTTCAAGGGTCCACATTCCTTGAGGGGAAGTTACAGTAGGTGGGTAGCCAGACGTGAGCTGGGAGAGGGTTGGGGATTTTGGCCCTTGTTTACATTCTGTTGGATGCTTGTTTATATTGTAAACAGTATGAATAAACTGTTCTGGGGGCTGTCAGAAGGGAGGGTGTAGATTCCAGACCTGCCAAAACTTACCAGTTCCAACGGAGAAGTTGACCCTGATTTCATCTCAGAGTAAATTACACGCTCATTAGCATACTAAATCATGCCCCTTGGCACCAGGACAGTTCAAGCAGACCATTTTAGGAGAAAAAGGGGGGCGTCACCCTATTTCCCAGAAATCCCCTCCCTGTTCAAGGAAAACACCACCTACCTTGATGAATATTCCACCCCCTGCTTAAGCTGCAGCTATAAGACCCCCAAACCAAACCCTACTATGCTGCTCACTTTTGGAACCTAGCTGCACTCCCTTCTTAAGCGTGTACTTTGCCTTATTAAACTACTCTTCGCTTGTTAAAAAAAAAATACAAAAGAGTAGATCATAAAAGGTTTTCATCACAGGAAAAGAAATAACTATGGGAGGTGATGGCTATACCTAAACTTCCTGTGGTGATCATTTCCAACATATACACATCTCAGATCCTTACGTTGTACACCTAAAACGAGGACAGTGTTGTACGCCAATTATATCTCAGTTAAAAACAGGATCAGGGCCTTTTAGGTTTTCACTGCTTCTCTGGGATTGACTGTCGAGTTGGTCAACAGTGAGGTGTGTGGCTTGGAGACCCTTGGGTACAAGTCGTTTCTGTTACTGCCCCAGGCAGTTTCCTTGGGTTTTAATGTCTGAGAAGTATAGTCACACAGGCAAGTGTCAGTTATCCATGTGTGCTGATCCAGGGAAGGCTCCTTTCCTGACAGGCTTGCTCCTTGGCTGTCCCCAGGCATCTGGGAATGCTGCCTTGGGGGCCTCAGGAGGATGCCCAGCAGCACCAGACCTGCCGCAAGGAGCTGACCAACTGACTTTCCCTTCTCTCTGCTCTTAATCGCTCTCTCACCCCTTCCCCTTCTTCATTCTTACGTTTCTTGCTTTTTATCCAAGTGGTCAGCCCCAAGGGCAGATGTCTGCTACAATACTGTGCCCTTTCCTGGTGAGCCGGTGGCTCCCTCAGTCCTTCAGAAGGAAGCATGTCGCCCCCTTGGTCACACCAGTAAGAGCAAATCTTTGCAAAATTATCCTGTTAGGCCAGGAAGCACCTTTGGGACAACCTGCTCTAGTCCCTGTGTTTGATGGAAATGAGGGTGCCCACTCGGGTCAGTAAGCTGAGGACAGACTTGGGACTACAGCCCGGGGCTTGCTGGCATCGGGCACTTCCCACAGCACCCTTTCCCCTGCCAGTGTCACTTCCCACACCTGTGAAACGGAATGTCTCTTACATGCTTTGAGTAGTCTTTGGACAGTTCATGCTGCAAAATGAATGTTGAGACAAAGACTTTCATTTTCCTCTGCAGCTGTGGCCTGTAGCTGACTGGATTGGAAAGAACAGGGCAAGCAAGAGATGTAATACATGCTTTAAATTTCCTTGGAAAGAGTCATCGAAACTTCTGCATAGTTTAATTTACAGCCTTTCTTTTTTTCCATATCAATGACACCAAAAATCAGATTGCTTTGGGATTTTACACTGGCAGATGGAACGTTCCCAAGGGACTTGGAGGCTTGTTCCCGAAGCTCGGGAATGAGATGCTGTGTACTGACCCTTCAGACATCACTAGGGCAGTGCTGCAACAGCAAAGCTACTGAGACAGTTCTTAGTCAGTACACTCCTGTCAGTGTCTAAAAATCAAATAACTTGAGACCTGAATGGATCAAGAGCCATTTATACTCTTAAAATGTTCATGCCGGGTTGTCTAATGGATATAAAACACTAGTGCTCAGTGAGTACATGGGAACAAAGGCCCACTTGGATAGTCTTCCACTGTGAGGATGCTGTGGTATGTCTGGCTGGAAAAGAGGCACCTTTTCAAAGGTTTTGTTTTGGGCGATAAATCATCTGATCTTAATTGCTCTTCCTCTTTGTTTTGAAGATTGCCAAGCCCCTTTATTTTTTCTGAGTTGCTGCTCAAGTTTGAATCTGATCATGTAGCCTTTTTAAATTTTCAAACATCCACATGGGAGTGGGTGGGGACCTTTCGATTTATGAAAACAACACAGAGGACCTGGATTAAAAGTGAGCTTGGTCCCCTAAAATGGTTGGTTGTCCCTGGACAAGCCCCTTGACCTCTGTGATCCTCAGTGTCCCTGTCTGTAACGTGGGATGCTGGTTGTGAGGTATAATCAGGAACTCCTGTGGGGAAGGACGTGGCCATGTCATGAAACCGTCAGAGTCACTGAGGGTGGGTGGGCCTCGGGGTCAGGCTTCAGTCGCTCTACCGCTCCCATGGAACAGTCAAGTTTCTCTTGGCAGGTTAATTTACTTAGAACTTGATCTCCTCTGGAAACTGGAGGAAGGACGCCTGCTTGGTTAGGCTGTTGTGAGAATTAAATGTGATACAAGTCAGGTGCCTCGTGTACTGGCTTTGCGGGGTCACCGTGCTCTGAGGTTTGGCCCTCTGTGCTCACAGAGCAGCCGTTGCATAAGGTCATGCGTGTGCGTCAGACTGAACCGTTAGTGAGTTCTTGACAGAGGTGAGAGGGGTTGGTAGCCACCCTCCAGAGCTTGAGGAGGTGGGGGTGGGTGAACCCGAGGGGTGGAGGGTAAGAGGGTGAGAGGGGTGGTAGGGGAAGTCTTTGGAAAGTAAATCCCTCTGGACTTGTGTATAATTTGACAGGTCAGTTGTTAGTGCCAGTTAACACTCAATAATTGCCATACCTTTTGCTTACAAATATTGTAAAGCTATAAAGACCATAAAGTTCATAGAATTTGCTGAAGAGAAAGAAACTTTTGGTATGTCTTCAAATGTTGCTTTGGTCGGTTTTACAGGGGCACTTAAGGAACAGTGCTTTTGCAGAAGGGAAATTTGGCAACAACAGTTTTACAACATAATAATTAATGAAGTGTTGCTTTTAGCTGCCGACAAATTAGTTTTATTTGATAGACTCCCGAGGAAGACTGTAGTCTGAAGGAATGAGAATGATACTTGGTGGATGAGGCTGGGGAGTTTGAAAGTGAGAGGGAAGAGAGACAGAGGGTGTGCTTCAAGGTAATCGCTCCCTAGTTGTTCTTGTGCAGAATGTGGAAAGAATCCTGGCTTATCTGCATTTTTTCCCCCTATGATTGCTCATGTGTGGCATGGCTTGTTTTTCTTCTAGGATGTGGATAAAGAGAAGGAAACTCACAATTACCTCAGCAAAGAGGAAATCAAAGAGAAAGTCCATAAATACAACTTAGCTGTCACCGACAAGTTGAAGATGACCTTGGTAAGGAGGCACCTGTAATAATACCTTGTAGGTTGCAAATGCACGTTGTTGGTACTATAATAGATATGTTTTTAAAATCTCTTAATAGCATTTGTAGAAATTTAGCGGTCAAGGGTATGCAGGGCAGAGAAATGGAGTATTTCTGTAGCTTTCAAATTCAAGCTGTTTTAAGATATCTCAAAATCAGTGAACAACACTCCTTAAAACTTTATCATGAAAGATTTTGTGACTCCACCCCCCCACCAAAAGATTTTAAGCATTAAGTATAATCATTGCCTGTCCCAACATATAGGTGGTAATTCAGATTCTAATAAGGCCTTAGGTAAGTTTCATTTTGTGGGAATAAACTTGGAAGTGCCAGGAAAAGGACAGCGTGCCGATGGATGGGAGGATAATTGAGCTAAGGTTTTCTCAGCTGGTGAGTGTGCACGAAGAGATTATATATTTACCTCCCTGCAAGTTGCTGTTTCAGGCTCTACAACATGGTACCAACCCTGTTGGAACCTCCGTGGGGAGTGAGGGTGTGGGAAGGAGGGTTTGATGACACGAGAGGAGAGCCCACATCAGGGCCTAGAGAACTCATGTGTCTCTAAATCGGACTGGAGTCTACCTTGCCCACCCATTTGGTGACGTTCCTCGAGGCACCTGCCATCCATCCCTTGGTGCCAGTTTCCAGGGCCCTGGGACTCCTGCCTCTTAGTCTGTTTTGACTGTATTTGACAAAAAAAGTTCAGCAAAGGATGGGATGACTTGTTTAGAACAGGCCTTACCGAGTTCTGTGACTCTTGGGGAGGAGCTTTTTTAATTTAAATTTAAATTTAAATTTAAATTTTTCTCTTTTTTAAAATTTTTATTAAGGTAATCATTGATACACACTCTTATGAAGGTTTCACATGAAAAACATTGTGGTTACTATGTTCACCCATACTGTCAAGTCCCCCCATACCCCATTGCAGTCACTGTTCATCAGTGTAGTAAGATGCCACAGTGTCACTACTTGTCTTCTCTGTCCTGGGGAGGAGCTTTTAAGTATAAGCCCTTGGGATAAAGGCTCCCTTCCCAGTGGGAGTCCCCCAAAAGGGTGGGGAGGGGCAAATGATCCCAAGAGTATTCTTCATTATTCCCAAGTGGTATTTCTCCTTTTTCAAACACAGTCTTCATCCAAGGAGATATATTACACTTACCGTGGCCTTTTTCCCCCTTCCCCATGGAGATTTAAACAGATTTAAGTAAGCTTCCACGTTGTTTCAAAAATAAAAAATGTAAGTGTTGTAAAGCTTCCCATAAGAATGAACAAGTGAATTACTATTGTGAGTTGATCTTGTGGAAAGGAAGCATAATCATAAAGGAGGTTTTTAATGTTCTAGAATTCTGTCATTTATAGCTGGAATGATTTAAACCTGAAGATTTGTTTTAATAAAGCCTTAGAATACATTTTTTTTTCTAAATATACTGAATGTCAAAAGAAAAAGTGAAGACAAAAAAACCATTATCTATTTTTGGCAACTAAGAAATAGTAATTCTACTTTCAATTAAGAAAAGGGCAAAACTTATAAAATTTGGGAGGTTAAATATATGCAGTTTATTGTATAAATATTATAACTCAAAGTTGTTAAAATACATGTATACATAGGAGACATAAATGTGGTGTTAAAAAAGACAAATTCTTGTATTTTAATATGTATAGTTCACATTGTAACTTCAGTTTGTTTTAAAAATATTGTTGCCCGAGATGACAGGAACGTGTCGTCAGGTATCCCATGCTGCGCAGGGTATATGCTATATAACAAAGCTTAAGCAGACTTGGTGATCCAGGACTGAGCGTACTTGACACTAGGAAGGAGAAGACCTTGTTTTCTTCCTGTCTGCTCCCTTTTGACTTGGGTATTTCAGAGTCCTAACTGTCCTTCCCTTTTTGTATATGGCTGGTAGTCAGTTACAGGATCCCTTTGAGCAGTTAGCCCAGACGTATCCCCTAAGCTGTCGTAAGTCTTGGGGTTGGGCTAGCATCTGCTCCAGTGGGTTTGACCTCACCAGGGGGCCCCTGACCTTTCACATGCAGCTTCAGTGGCATGAACTGGACTTTGGCAGCCACAGCCCGGGAGGCTTGCCCAGCCACCCCATCTGCCCTGCACACCCTGCCTCTGGAAGAGCTTTGAGGGTGTGCTAACCTGCGGCCATTCCCTTGGGGGGCAACTTTTAGTCAAGTTCTGCAACGGAGCAGTAAGAGGCAGGAACGTGATAAAGTATGTCTCTCCTTCCCTTGCTGTGGTTTTGATCTGCTCCTAGAATGCCACTCAGCCCAGCTAAGTGTGTGCTTTTCTTCCCGCTTCAGAATTCAAATGGGATTTACACTGGCTTCATTAAAGTACAGATGGAACTCTGCAGACCTTCACAAACTTCTCCAAGCTCTGGAAAACTTGCTCCCAGCAGCAGCGGCTGTATGAACACACTTCACATCAGCAGCGCAAACACTGTCGGGGAGGTGATTGAGGCCCTGCTCAAAAAGTTCCTTGTGACCGAGAGCCCCACCAAGTTTGCACTTTATAAGCGTTGTCATAGGGAAGACCAAGGTAACACTGCCATGCTGAAAATTAAAGTGGTCTCTGCCTTTATATCTTTGTCCTCAGTAGCAGAAGGCAGGCTGATGGGTGTAACTTTCTCAGTTACGTCAGAGCCCAGGGACAGATTCTGGAAGCCACAGTGATCAATGGCATGCACTTAGTGTTTCCTTGCTGCCCATATTTTTGAGTTGGACAGTTTTGGATCTGAGATGCTCAGAGGCATCCACGTGTGATAGACATTTTATGGAGAATTTTGTGATGCGCACAGGGGGTAACTTTGATTTTAATGTTCTTTAGGACGAAAAAGAATGCCTTTGTGTGTGGTTTTCAATAGCATGTGTACGTGTGATATGCATCTGAACATGGAGTGCCTGGGACTTGTGTTCTCTGAGACCTTGAGGATGGGGAGATGCATGTGTATTACTGCATGTTTCAGACTTACTGAGGTGAACGACCACAGGCTGGGGTTCTCCTGTGTCCTTAGCTTGTCTCCTTAGCTGTTACACAGGGGCATTTTGTCGTCCAGGCCCCCCAGAGGCACATGAACCGAGGATAAATAACATTTTCATCTGGGGTCTGCCTGTCTGGACTTAATACCCACAGTCAGTGGACAGGAAAGATCAATGAGACTGAAGAAGATATTCCAGGTCAGGTACTCCAGTAGAAATTGATACTGATGGTGGGCAGTATGATTAAGTGATTCACTAAGTGCTACTTTGAAACTGGTGTGTGTGAGGGAGCAGTCAGCTATTGAACTTGTCTAGATTCTCTGGGTAAAGCCTAAAGCAGCTGTAGGAGAAAATACACTAACCTGACATGGTAGGAATGTCCTTCAGTTGCGTGGAGATGAAACCCACTAGGTGCCAGTGTGCATACATTTTTTTGGCCACATAGTGTGGGCTTGGCCATTGGGATACAAAGGTGAATCCGCCAAGGTTCCTACCCCAGGAGGCCGCAGGCTTAGCACCATGGGGGAAGTTTACATCTCCAGGGAAATGAGCACCTACAATGGAGTTATATCCAAAAGGGCCAATGTAATATAAGCTCAGATGGCATTTTTATCAGCTTCTTTGCCTGCTCTCCTGGACTTCAGCTGCACAATCTGACAGTAAAGGTGTCCTGTTGAAATAATACCCTCATGCTGGCAAATCTTCCAACGCTACAGGCGGTGCCAGCACCTGTGTGTGTGCAGCCCGAGACACCCGGAGTTGTGCTTAGAGCCGCCAGAGCTTGTATTCTCTCTACTTGGTTTGTTGGCAGCTGCGAATTCCACATTGATCTGCAGAGATTTGCTCCTAGTACTCTGTTGTCATGGTCTTTGGATGGTATATTTTTACTGTTTTTAAAGGTGTTTCAGATCTTTTTTTTAAAGTTTCTTATTTTGCTTTCTAAAAGGAGTAGAATGAATGGTAAGTACATTTGGGACTACTACCCATTTAAATTCATTCTTGACAATTACTTCCTTTTTAAGCAAAACACAGTTTATATTGGGCAGATAGAACGGAATTCATATAGATCAGCCCTCATCCCACTGGGGGCTATTTATTGGTCACAGGAGGAGGATGGTGACCTGATGGCTGGGGTGACACGGACCATTGCCTTGATCTGGAGGAAGGGATGGGAAGGGCGGTGAAGGGTGTGTGGTCTAGGGGATGCTGAAGTGGTGATTGTGATGGGCTGCTTGTGTCCTTCTCCAGTCTACGCCTGCAAGCTCTCGGACCGGGAACACCCACTCTACCTGCGTTTGGTAGCAGGGCCCAGAACAGACACACTTAGTTTTGTTCTTCGTGAACATGAAATTGGAGAGGTAAGTGGTTGTTCATTCTTGCTTTAAATTCTACAGAGCCGCTGGTCCTGTTTTATTGCTCCAGTCTAGGGAGTGCCATGAAGAGGAGGAGGAGGAAGCGGGCTGGGGAAGAGAATGTGTATATGCATCTCTGTCTGTCCTCATGGGAAGAAGAGAGGTGATCTAAGGAGGACAGCTTTCTGTGTGTTTTTGCATCGTCAGAAATGAACCCAAAGTTAGCCCACATTATAATTCTTTTTTTTTTAAGGTATTCCTTGCTAGTAATTTCCTTTTTCCACCTTTAAAAACCTTTTCTTGAGTTCTTTGGAGCTCCTATCTGTTGCTAGATGGGATGCAGCCTGATTCATGAATCAGTGAATAAAAGCCAGTTTGGTCATTAAATTTACTGAGTTAAATTTTTGTTGGTTAACACATTTGGTGACTGTGATGGGATCTGAAGTGAACTTCAGATAGCATTCAAGGAAAACAAGAAACACAGGCATTGTACCTGTGCATCCTTTTTGAATTCACATTGTTGCCATTTCTAAGGGCTACGGGTGTATTCCCTTCACCTGAGCGACATTGTGGTTACTACATACGCCCATATTATTAAGCCCCCCTTCACATACCCCATTACAGTATAATTTTTTTATAACACTTTTACATTCTCCCATGTGGGAGGGAATAAAATTTTTTACTTGCTCTCCAGCCAGTCATTTTCAACCAGCTACATCCAACTTCCAATCCAGCTGAAACGTAACACTCTCTGTGTGTTTGTTATTAACAGAAGTCCCTGGGCTAATCTGTTCTAAAGGGAATGGAAAGGAAAAGGAATCTCTTCACCACGGAAGACATTTAATTTTCTAGAATCTTTTTTTCCTCTTTGCCCAAATGATTAAGAAATTATGTTTATATATGCATCATTTGCCATTTTCTCTCCAGGGAGGATTGTATTTAGGCCAGTTTGGTTGAGGAAAAAAGCACTTTGGACTGTCCTTCTAGATCAGGTGTCAACTTTAAATGACACTTGAGTACTTGCAAAAGCTCTGGTCTCAGTCTAATGTCTGGAACAGGAAATGGTATGAATTGTCCATGTAGAACATGTGTGATGCAGTGAATAGAGTTTGCAGGATAAAAGTTAGAAAGCCAGGACTCTGTTTCCTCCTGTGCTTGTTAGATTAGGAGCATGACCTTGGGTAAATCATCTAACCTTTTCAGTCCTCAGTTTTAGAATCTGTGAAGAGGGAGTAAAGACTTTCAGAAGTGGTTTTGAGTCACCAATTAGAAATGTACATAAATATGCTTTGTGAATGTTATGTTTATATCGTCAGTGTAAATTGAAACTTTAGGGAATTTTAGGAAGATGGCGATTCTGGACATATTTGAAGTTTCTTTTTATTCTGATGTTTTGAAGTTTGAAAAATGCACTCATTTTGGGAAGAAAGCTGGGTGCAAAAGATTTGGCTTTTTAGTTTGGCACATGGCAGCATTCCCTCTGAAAGTAGGCCAGACACAGTGGTGTAGTCTTGCCTGTATGTTATTTTTCTTGTACTTGTTATTTTCTTGGTACTGGTCTTTCAAATACTGCAATTAGAGCTACACTGTGTGTGAGGGAGTCATGTCAGCCTAGTTTGGGCATTTACTTTCCATTGTGTTTGATGTTCTGAACTGCTTTATTGGACCTCTGTAAGGTGTTCATGTTTGTTTCAAAGTTAACTGAATCGAGGGAGGAAATTCTACATAGGTATCAGGGAGCGGGAATGACATGATATTTTATAATGCCCTTTATTTTGGAGAACATTGTGAAAAATAGTTAATTGCTAAAAGCTGATGGGATTTTCTGATGTAGAAAGTTTTATCTCCTACCTCCCTGTTTCTTATTTTCTTTAATAACCAGGTCAGAATTCATCTCCCAGGAGCCTTCTCACACCGAGACCACTTGGTGGTTTCATTCTGTTTCCTCTATTTGCTTAACCTTAGGTTATCCCCAGCCTTTTCCCTACCCCCCAGGAGTTCCCCCACAGAAACTGTTCCTGGCCAGGGCAATGATTCTCAGCTCAGGACCCAGGGCTCCCTTTTGGAAGGGGAACATATGTACTTAAATGAAAACCAACCCTTCCAGGTGATGCCAAATACCCTTCTTGCCATTCACTGCTTTAATTTAAAAGCTAAAAAAACCCAAGCACTTATTTTGTGCCTGCTAAGTACCAGATGCTCTTGGAGAAGCAGAACTTAGACTTAGGGGAAGAGGCAAAGCCCAGAGAGTGAGAAGTGCATAGTTGTAGGTGAAAGAGAATGGTCACGACAATACTTAAATCTTTTGTGATCAGGGCTACCAGTGCTTGGTGAGAGCGTCTAATAGACCTAGTCCTACAGGAGGCAGGGGAGGAAATCATGGGAGGCTTCTTAGAGATAATGGCACTTAAGTTGAGACTTGAAGGTTGAGTAGGAGTTTGCCAGGTAAAGTGGTGGAAGAGAGAACATATTCAAAGCCACTTAGGGAAACAGGTGGAGGGACAGCATGGGAGAAATGAAGGTAGAGAAGTCAGGGTCTTTCAGACTAAGCAGGAACAACTAGGGGAAGACACTAAATGATTCTGAGCAGGGAGGGTCATGCCCCAGCTTCCATTTCACAGCATATTCAGGCTGACTGTTTGGGGAACAGAGTAGCAGTGTTAAGAGTGGATTGAACAGAGTGGCAGTGTTAAGAGTGGAGTGGGCATGCTACGCAGGAGACTGTTCCAGGGATGCAGAAGAAGATGATGGTGGTTAATACTAGGGGGAAATAGAGATGGAGCAAAACAGGCCAATTAGAGAGTTGCCTAGGAGGTGATTAAGATTGTAGGAGTTGATTCAAAAAAAACATGCACCCCTATGTTTATCGCAGCCCTATATACAGTAGCCAAGAAATGGAAGCAACCTAGGTGTCCATCAGTAGATGAATGGATAAAGAAGATGTGATACATATGCACAATGAAATATTATCCAGCCATAAGAAGAAAACAAATCCTACCATTTGCAACAACATGGATGGAGCGAGAGGGTATTATGCTCAGTGAAATAAGCCAGGCGGAGAAAGACAAGTACCAAATGATTTCACTCATCTGTTGGGTATAAGAACAAAACAAAAACGGAAGAAACAAAACAGCAGCAGACTCACAGAACCCAAGAATGGACTAACAGTTACCAAAGGGAAAGGGACTGGGGGCGGGGTGGGCAGGAAGGGAGAGGTAAGGGGGAAAAAAGGTCATTTACAATTAGCACACATAATGTAGGGGGGGGGGTGGCCAGGGGAAGGCAGTATAGCACAGAGAAGACAAGTAGTGACTCTATAGCATCTTATTACACTGATGGACAGTGACTGCAATGGGGTGTGTGGGGGGAACTTGATAATGGGGGGAATGTAGTAACCATAATGTTGCTTATGTGATTGTCTATCAATGATACCTTAAAAAAAAGTAATCTCTTTAGGAGTGGGATCCCAGGTTTTTTTAGAATTAAAACATTATTAAAAAAAAAGATTGTAGGAGTTGAGAAAGAGGCAGTGATAGTAAAGACTCCATGTAGAGGGACGATGGAGTGAGAAGTGGTTTCTAAAGACTCTGGGGGTCAAATCAGAAGCGAAAGATTCTAATGGACGTAGGGACACATGGAAGTACATTGGCTTTAGTGAGAGTCATTTTGGAGACTGGGAGGAGGGGAGCAGGGCGATTGGAGGGAGCCCGAGTGGGAATCAGGGAGTGGTAGGGCTGGGAGGTTGGCCCTCTAATCCAGGGCTCCTGACCCGCTGGCCCTGAGCACCTGCCTGCCCAGCAGGGCCAGCCACGCGTCCCTGTGCTCCTGGCCAGCACTCCCAGGCCTGGCATTGGCTTAAACACCTGGCATCCTTTTTTGTGTTTTCACACAGTGGGAAGCCTTCAGCCTTCCAGAACTACAAAATTTCTTGCGGATCTTGGACAAGGAAGAAGACGAGCAGCTGCAGAACCTGAAGAAGCGTTACGCGGCCTACAGACACAAGCTGGAAGAAGCTCTCAGTGAGATGTGGAAACCTGATTAAAGCGTGGGGCTCCCTGCCACCAGGGACGCAGGACCTGTGTACAAGCCAGCAGCCAATGCCTCTCTCCTCAGAGGGCTGTCTCCTTGCCCAGTGATGCTAGGGTTTTCCCCTTTGTTACCTCTAGATGCAGTTCCCCAAACCCTGCCAGGGAGCACGTGGGGCCGTCGGCTTGCCCTGTGACAGCCTGCGCCACCCCTCTGCAAGCTGAGTCTGCAGTCTCCTCCGGAGCGGTCCAGAGGGCTTTGAAGCATGGGCACTGGGTTTTGCCCCACTTACTCTCTTTTAGTTACTTTGTGTGATGATGTTAAGCTTAAGGATGTACAAATGATTTGTTAAAAGCTTTACAAGTAATCTATCTGAATACTTGTCCTATGTTGAAACTACCTGTTGGGTTTTTCGTTGTTTTCCAAATGTCAGGAAACGATCCACATGAATTGAAAGGCACAAAAAGCCAGGAACTCTGAGGAATTTGTGAAGGATTTTGGAAGATTTTGACAAAGAAAGTAAAGAGCAAGTTTGGAAGAAGGTGTGAGTGGAGGGTGGGGGACTTCAGGAAAGGTGGTTTGGTGATGAGGTAGAGGAGAAAGGTGTATTTGCTGGTAAATTAGTTAAAAGCATTCAGTTTTGAGAGGTTTAACCACTGTAGTATTGTTTGATTTCCTGGTGAGTAATACGTGGGAACAGCCACAGAGAGTAGGACTAGACCAAGGACTAGACCAGCAGGAGGGGCGCCCACCTGCAACTGGCCGGTGCTGGGTGTGCTCTGGCAGGTGGGTGTCGCACACCCAGACAGACCCAGGCTGCCGGGCCGCCTGCTTGGGGCCCAGAGCCCCGTGTCCTGCCTTCCGGGTGCAAGGTCACGTGGTGCAACGTCCAGGCCGGTGGGGCACTGACCGGTTGCTAAGTCCTGCTAATAATTTCTCCCCCTGAGGTTGTTTTCAAAGTTGAAAAGGAGTTTTTTGGGTAGGGGACAGCTGTTTTGCCCATTGTTAGCTGGGAGATTTGTCAGGTAAAGGGCTCACAGCACACGTTTGTGACAATCACTTCCGTCCTTTCCCTTCTTTTCCTTTTTTCTTCCCTCCCTTCGTCCACCCCTCCCCCTCTCCTTCTCCCTCTCGCTCACAAATTGAAGTCTCTTCCTACATAATGTGCAACATATTATATGATATGTAATACGGATTAAAGCCCTAGTGCCATCAGGACCTCCCACTGGGCTGGAAGGAGGACAGTGAGGGAGGACAGCCCGCCTACCTGGCTGACCACGGCAGAGGGATTCTTTATGGAAACGTTGTAACAAAAGTGCACCTTCCTGCCAACCAAAGAAATGCCTGTGCGATAGAAGCCTATCTTAAATTAAGCGGGTTAACCGCCTTCTGTGCAGCAGTTCATCTGAAAACAGGAAAGGTGTGCTGTGGCGCTAGAGGGGCCTTACAGTCTATTTTTTGTCTAGATGTTTTTTGTTTATAAATTCCCAAGGAATTGTTAACACTTTGGGGACACCTAATGGATTCTTTTTGAAATTCCAAGGTGCTTCGGTTCTTAGCCTCCTAAGGGAACTGTGCCTTGTGCAGCGTTTCCGTTTCCCTCCGGCGACTCTTCCGACTTTCCAGGGAACACCCATCTTGTTGGAGGCACAGAGTGTTGGCTATGCTGTGCCGCCCCGGAACTGAGACAATCGTATCTTCCTAAGCTTTTTTAAGGCGACTTGGAAAGAAAAAAGTAGGACTAGTTATAAAATATGTATGGTATGGCACATCTAGTTAAATTCTCCATGTAACTTTTTTGTAGTGCATTGATGAGGTTTTAGTGATACTGTCACCCAACACTTTATTTGTTCAGGGAATGGCTTCATGATTTTCATACTGGTTTTATTATTCAGACCGGCTTGGGTTTGAGGATACTGTTACCAAACACCTGGTCTTTTAATTACCTATCCCAGTAAGCTTATGTTTTGTGAAGCATTTGTTTCTCAGATTAAGACACTGTTAGAACCTAAAGTAGTAGCTGATGGGTATCTGTGAATTTTTTTTTTTTTTTTTTACTTGAAGTAGATTGAAATAGGGGTCCTCATGTATATCCCCCAGACCCTTGCTCCTTGTCGTGTGACCACTACAGGTTGCAGTTTGGAAAATGTGCTGTACTGAATTCCGTCAGTACATGGTTCTTTGAAGACTCATGTCTTGGCCCAAACACTGGTTACTGCAGCAGCATTTTTAATGTGTAAAAGAAGAAAGACCATTGAAGGTCAAAGATTTTTAGAAAATCATTGTACAAATTCTTGCTTTAAACTAAGCTTTGCTGTAATACTGTTGTCTCTTCAGCATGTGATGGTACAGGAACGATGTTAAACGAAGGGGGTAGTATTGCAGGGGAGCATTTGAAATCGCAGAAGTAAAAAGTTATAATATTTATAATTTTGATGAGTTTATTTTTATAGGGAAGATTTTTCTTCCCTAAAATTGTCTCCTGAATGGTGAGTTGTTTCCATTATTAAAAGTTGAAGTTGTCAGTTAATGTTTGTGTGTTTTTATTTATGATAATATGAAAACAATGACAGTAACACACCAATAAAAAGTCACAGGAGGTGGGATGAGCTTTTGCAGATACCCAAGGACACATTCCCAGTGTGACAATTTCACTAGGTGAGTCGGGCACCTTTTGTTCTCCCCAATTTTTCCTTCTTATCCTCTAGGAAAAATAACCCCGGCTGAGTGCCCATACAACGCATTCCTAAAGCAGTAGTTTTAATTGTGAACTATACACACGTTCAAAAGTGTATAAAGCACGTGGGCAGTTTAAGATGTCAGTTCCTTAGAAAATCCTCTCCCTCTACCCTCCTTTCCTGCCCCAAGGTCTCCCTTCCATCCTTGAAATAGGCCACTTTCAACGTTGGTATTTTTTGTTCAACGAGACTGACTCACACAGGAGGGCGGAGTGTTTGGTGACCATCAGTGGTGACTCGGTTTAAACCTCATCTTAGGCCTTCGTGCCAGCCGGAGGCAAGTGTTTTTTCTGCTGCACTGCCCTCTAGAGGCGCTGGTGAAACAGGAGCAAGGCTGCAGGGACTGGTGAGGGGAAACATTTTAGTACCACAGCTGCTTTTAAGTAAAAATACTGATAGAAAATGATGGCTTGATATAGATACCCATTTTTGATGAAGTATTCAAAGGAATTAGTTGGGTTCAGCCTTAGTCACTACCCAAGGTACAGGGGGGCAGAATGTTTCGGTATTTTTATTCTTTAAAGGGAGTTGGCTTCCTGCTGTTGGTGGCTTTTCAGAATTTGTCACCAACTGATACCTTGTTCAAATAAACATGCTTATGTTGCAGAGTTAGCTCTCAAGAATTGTATACTGGCTTTGGGACTCTGTCATGTGATTTTAATTAGATATTTTCTTTTTTTGAAAGGAGGAAGAAAGTCATCTTTTTAATAGCAAGTTCAAACAAATATTGAGGCAATCTGTGTTAACTCATTTCCTCCTCCATGAAGGCAGGTATCGTCAACATCCCCCTTTTACAGATGAGGAAACAAACACTTTGCGGTCCAGCAATTTGCCTGCCTCTTAAGTACTGTCTTCCTCGGTGCGCTATACAGTTTTTCAGTTCAACTGTCTACTAAGAGCCTGTGTTGTTGCCTATGATGGGCAGTTGGTCGAAAGTGGGCCTCTCGGTGCAGTTGGCTTTTGTGGGAAGTGAAAGTGTAGCCTTGATACTAGAGGGCTTTACCATGCATTTGTTCATTTAGCATTCAAGTTACACAGAAAGAAATACCAACCTGTATTCTCATTGGCAAGTTCTGGTGCTGGGAGAAATGAACCGGGCAGTTACCCTAACCCAGTGTTCTCACTGCAATAAGCAAAATAAATCCCTGGAACCACCAGAAGGAAAACAGCTCCCTGGAGAAGTCAAAGTTCCTAGGAGCCACCAAATACTGCAAAGGCTGGAGTTTTACCGCTCCCCCCACCCCCACCCCGCGCGCCTGTCTGGCGTGACCCCCGGGGTGCTGACGGGGCGGCGGGGGCGCGGGGACCGCGGCTGCGGGGAAAGGCGGGGCGCGGGAGCGGGCGGCAGCAGTAACCGCCTGGCGAGTGTGCGCCACCGGCGGGCTGGTGTTTGGGTTTGCTGGTGGTGTTTCCCTTCATTTTGTTTTGGCAAATCTTTCCCTTTAATTCTGTAAGGTGAGAACGGTGGGGCAGAGGGCAAACCCTTTCCGAAGACACTTGGGACCCTCGTGTGTGGCCTACGCGGCACTTAGCAGCAGCTGAGCTCCTAAAGCTCCGTTCTTCTTTCCGCTTCCCGGAAATGTGAGTATTGGAATTTTTAAATGTTTATACACTAACAGCAAAACATAGGGGCTCTTTGTACACTACAAAGGAAGTTGGGGTTTAGGCTTCATTTTTGGAAAGGAGTTATTTTAACCAGGATAATTCCTTTTTGTCTTTTCGAACAAGGAGTCTTACCTTTTAACACGCCTTGTCTTCCGCGTCTCGGATTGGGGGTGGGGGGCGGTGCTTGTAGACTCCCCTCACTTTACCTGTCCTCATGTACCCATGGGATTATTTCAACCCTGTGTGGATCCTTTTCTCTGAAGTCGAGTTGTAGGAGGCTCTGCTATATATTTTCTGATTTTCATGTACAATAAAATTTCCTTAAATTCCAGGAATCTTGGAGCAGCACACTAGTGTTTTGCCGAAATTTCGAAACCTTGAATTATTACTATTGCAGGCAGAGGCAACAGCTTAAATTCAAATCTTTTATCTGAAAGTGGCATCTCCCGATTCTTTTCAAAATGGCACACATTTCAAATATTTTTTCTTGCATGTGTGATCTCTTTAAACACTCAAAAGTCATGATTTTTAGGTAAAATTAAGCATTTTTGTCTGATGCCTTATCAACGAAAGATGCTTGTCTGAGAATATAAGGGCAACCATAGCAATCAAGAAACTTGGGTATCATGTTTTGCAAGAGTCCAAGTTGTCCTGCCTTCTTCCAGACAAATTGTCTTCAGTTGTGTGTGTGTGCTGGGGAAGAGAGTGGGCCTCAGGGGAGACAAGCAGCTAGTGTATAGGGATGTAGGATTGTCCCTGTGTCCACCTGGTCGACCACCCCACATCTTACTTTTTACAGTTGCATTCATTTATAACTAAGGCAACTGAGCAGAGGCACAGTAGGTCTTGTGAAAAGTTATTTGTTAAGCCGGGTTGGGAAAGGGCAGTGTTTAAGATATGCTGGAAGAGATTTCCAGACAAAATGAGGTCACTGTGCCATTTCTTCATGGTCCACTTCCAGATCTGCTGAAGGTGCTGATTTTAAAAAGGTTTTTCTGCACCTCACCACAAATGAATTCCATATTGAGAGTAATGGCTAGCCTGCAAAGAGATCCCCTGACCTATCTCACTTAGCTCTGGAAAGGACAATTGCATGTAATATATACTGTTTGACCCTGTATCCTGGCCACAACTAACTGAATCTTAGCTAAAACCTCTGATACAAAGCTGTTAATCAATTAGACTTTCTCAAAAATTAAAATAAAGAAATGGCAGGAATTGTAGTCAGTCAGTGGTGGGTACTAACAGACCAGGGCGCTGAGCCTACCACTGGGCCTTGTGTCAGTGGGGAGAGAGACTGCAGAGAAAGCAAGACAATGGAGCAGAGAAGGTCTATGTAAGTCTCAGAGTAAATTCAGAACCTGATGTATTTTAGCTGTTGGATGCTCATGGTACCCTTTCCTGAGGAAAGAATGATCTTTATTTAATGATCTCACTACTAATGCACCCATCTGCAATGGGGCCAAGAGTACAAATAGAGGGAAACTTATAGCACTAAATAAATGATTATTAGAAAAGACAGAAGGGCTCGAGTGAGTGACTTCAGACACTAGAAAACTGCATTGTAGCTGCATTCATCCCACCGGTTCCTGGACTTGCCATTGGAATGAAGAAGGAGATATCTAAGCTGGCCTGTGCATACACTAAAACAACAAATTTGACTGGATCTGTACTGTCGGAACTCAACCAAGAATTAGGAGAAGTGCAAGTTGCAGCGCTCCAAAATCTTGGGACTATAGACTATCTACTGTTAAAAGAACATATGGGATGTGAACAGTTCCCAGGAATGTGTTGTTTTAATTTGTCTGATTTTTCTCAAACTATTCAAATTCAGTTAGACAATATCCATCATATCATTGATAAGTTTTCACAAATGCCTAGGGTGCCTAACTGGTTTTCTTGGTTTCACTGGA